ATGCATGCACACTTTTGTTGCTATTGACAGAATTATTGTAAGTTTGAATTTAATCGGATCGTTTTTGAACGTATGTGAAGCTGGTATATGGTCTAGCCATAGTCCAATATGCGTATCAAGTCGGTATTGTATACGATTTAGTAATATCCAGGCAGATCTTTTGGTGGCTGCAAGACTGTATCAAATTGGCAAAACAGTATCACATTGGCAGCGCTCCAACGAAACCTTCTCTCCGTGGCAAAAACTCCCTCGGCAGCAAATCGTCCCTCGCGGCCGCATATTACTCGCGTCGCTCAGAGAAAAAATAACGCCGACGCCCAACAAGACTGCGAAGGAGGCTATCAAATTGGCAAGACAGTATCAAATTGGTAGGGCAGTTGGCCCACAAAACATGCTAGTACAAAAAGAAAGCACAATGAAACTCTTAAAACATCTGCTTGAAGATTATGAGAATTTAGTAGATATGTTAGATAGTGTCTAACTGTTACTACAATGGAAAAACTTTTATTGCTACCATACCTTTATTATGTATGTATATTAGAATGCGTTTTGTTCTTTCTCTTTCATTTATCAGTTTATGACTGTGTTCTCAATAAACATGTTCAAGATTTGAAAATTTAAGAAATGGACTTGCTGTCACTGTTTACGGATTTTCTTTTTTTTAATGAAATAATATCCGATACAAATTAGCATGTTGAACATATGTCTCTACCATGTCTGTGTAAGCTAGAATTATGTCTGAACAGTGATAACCAATATTGCAATTAAATCCATATGTTTCGGCGGATGTTTCACCTAGTCTCTATAGAGGATTTAGCAAATCTTAACTGATATGTTGACCTTATGTACATATACAGATTGACCTTTTGGCTTAATGTGGAGGTTGAAGAGAGCCTATTAATAATAAATGCCCCAACTTTCAGGCCAATCCGGACAAAAGGTTTTAAACAAGGTTTCAATGTTATGACCCATGCCTCAAACAATTATATTCTCAGTGACTATTCGACATATGTAATAATTTGTAAAATCCTTGCACAATGGTGATAACCTCAACCGTACATTTGTTAGTAATATGAAATTCCCATCATATGGCCTTGTTTCCGTCGGTTTGCAGTGGGTATCCACTACACAACGATAGCTGTCGTGTTAAAAAATACGCTGAAGCAGTCAACAACTATTTTTTCTGGCTGTTAAACCCTGTTTTGATCATGCATTGTGAACGACGCAGCCGTCTACCATGCAAAACCATGCGACTCACACGCAGTAGAAACTGTTCAAAAGAGACACTCTGCGACTGACTGAAAAACTGCAAATTCTCCGTGGCAGCCTTGTCAAGAGGGTCCGCATGGAATTTATAATATAGTAGTGAGTCGGTCTGATCTAAATTCAACGTTAAAGACCATATGACATTAATGACACTGAAATGCAACAGTTCCTGAAAATAGTCCAACATTAATAATATAGGTATTATTGAACAAAATAATTGTATTAATGAACAAAAGAGGTTTGGACCAAAACGACACTCTTCTAATGATCTATTTTGTAAGTTCTTTTGTACAGTTGCCAAATAAAGTTAAAAAAACAGTGGTGCATTTTTGTATATCAATTTGAAGTTGTGTTTTGATGTTTGTTGTGTCCGTGATTTCGGACACGTAAAAAAGTTGGGTGGGACTTGAGAGGGAAACCCGGAAGTGACGTCACGTGGGCTGAAGTCTGGACGGACGTCCTGTGGGACCGGAAGTGCGCGTACCAAACCACAGCTGAACTTTGAAGAAGAATCACAACACTTCATCTACGGACGTTTACCGGCTTTTACCGCGACCCAACCGCTTCAAAAAGTAGGAGAACCCCGCGCGAAGACTCCCAAACATTATGTAAGTACCTCCGATCGACCTTTGGTCTCCTTTTTTTGGCGGGATCGCCGCATGTTTGTGTTTGTACGGCACCCAAGGACGACAAACACGCCCTCTTTTCAGAACTCGACTTTTCAGTTGTCAGACCCCCGACTAAGTTCGCCACCAGATGGCCTGAATTGTCATGTAAATCCACAAAAATCCCGGCTCGCTGACGGACCTAAGCCTTTCTAGTCTGTGCTCACACTTGAGAGAAGGGACTTGCTTTCCAGGGAAGGTCCGGATCTGAGTTTGTTGGCGCACATAGCAAGTTTCCGGACAGTAAGTCTTTCAGTTTTACAACTGTGCCCCCCTCCCCCCTTCCGGACCCATTCCTTCAACAGATGTTAGTTATAACGTCATAACAAAAACTGGAATTCTCTGCCT